GCAGCCTCACGTTCCGCCAAGCGCTCCGCGTCCTCGCGCTTCGCCTGTCTCGCGCCTCCGCCTCTGCTATCTTCCCGGCAAGATCGTCACACCACATCTCGTTCAACCTTTGGTACGCCATAAACTCGTCGTGGGGCAAGAGGATTAATTTGTCTTCCGGCGGGAGCGAGAAAGGAGGAACGAAAAGGGGGGAATCGAACGACAGATGGGCCGCTTCTACGATATCCTCCAGAGAGACACGTCCGGTGTTGTAGGCGCGCTCCAGTTCCGCCGAATCTGCTGTGGCGATGTTGTCCAGCAAATCATCGACTGTGAACACCATGGACATGGGGGGGCTCTCGTCTTCTGCACCGGCCGCTGGAAACTGCTCTGCGGTGGAAGCCTCGCCCTCGGGTTCGTAATCCAGGATTCCCACATTGTCGCCCAGGAGGTCCACTTTTCAGCTGGACATGGTGTCCTCTTTTTAACAAGAACAGGGCCAGAGAGAGGGTAGCTACGATCGATTTTGGAAAGGGCAGCAGGGCCATAACCAGTTGATGTAGGTTAACCAACCGCAGTCGAGGGCAGCAGCACCAAGAGCAGCAGAAGCAGTAAAGCCGGGAGCAACTTCGGGAAGAGCAAGCCGAGGTCCATGCGAAAGGCGGAGATATCCACAGGATAGCATACGTCCAGTGATAAAAGCTTGGTGCACACGAGGTTGAAGCGGATCCAACCAAGCAGAAAAAGTGTCCAAAAGCACACCATGCCACGCACAAACAGCAGTAGAAGCTAGTACAAAAGGGCCCGTGTTGCATGGAGACACTCCGACCAAAAGACACGCAGAGCAGCACGGCGTTCCTCCGCAACTGGTGCCGAAGTGCGAGCAAAGACCGCTGTGGGTTTGCGCTGTTGAAAGGTTTCCAATTCAAATGCTTTGAGGGTGAACGATTCCCCGAAAAAAAGTGCTATGTGATTTCGAAAAATAGAGGGAAGGCTGGTGGGGCGGCTGACACCCAATTTGTGTGCACACATCGCGTTCCAAGTCGATGCAAGTATCCTGCCGCTGACGGCAAGTTTCAAGGAGTGATGCTGTGGGCAGTGGCTTGCTCCTAGCGATAGATGAAGGTTCTGTCGTTGATCCGCTTGTCCACGACCACGTTGAGATGGGAAAGTTGCTTGTTTTTGCTGAGAGACGATCAGCAAAGGTCTGGGATGAAGTGGGGATCCAACTTCATCTCAAGGGGTACACAAAGTAGACAATTCTAAGGGGGTCGGGGTCAGAAGGGTATGCCTCCTGACCGACCCGCACCCTATCAACAATAAGATGTACCCTATTCATGCTAGCAGCCACACTCCTGAACAATATGGATAAATAGGGATAAAGGAAAATGATTTGATATTTGAAGATTCAACGGATTTCGGATGATAGTCTAGAGTTTATTGGGAATCAATGATATCGGAGGACAACATGATCTTGAGAGGTTTGTGTCGAATTGGAAAGATGGACGATCTAGATTTGGAATTGAGGTTATTACGGCCAGTGTGCGCGATAAGAGGAAAGGATGAGGAGTCGATCGCATCTAGTACCGAGTAGGGGGGCTGTTGGGTGTACTCAGCACTATAATAGATACGGATCTACGGAAATGTAGGGTGTCTCGTGTATCGTGTTGGTATGTGTTTTCTTGGAAGGGCGTACCCCCTTCTGGTGTGCAGGGCTTGTTGCCCTGCTGTTCACTCGTTAATCCCGTTACTCGTGAACGACAAGGTCTTGAGCAAGCCTTCTTCTCCACAGCAAACACAACATTCAGCCTCCCAACACCACAAACACAACATGCTGCTACACTGTCAATTTGTTGTACCATCTCGTATACAGGGCGGGGGCTTGCCTATTATGTCGAACGGTGTGCATTCTTGTGGAGTTTTCCCCATTTCTCCAGCCAGGCTCCATCCCGTCTTGCGTCGCAGCTTTTGTTATCGTGAGCTGCAGTACTCAGGCTGTATGGTGGAGGCTGCAAAAGCCACCCGATCTTGCGCACCCGGCGGTACTGACATGCCTCCCCCCTCGTTCTTGTGTAATGCTCGGGTCGCAGGTCGTTCCCCGAACCACCCGGATGCATGGTCGAGCAGAAAGATATAAGTGCCGTGGAAGCTATCAACACACTCTGCGCAAAGGCAAGTCAACATTCATTCACAAATATTGTTGTCGACGTCGGTCCTCATGCGTAGAGCAGTGCGAGTAGTGCATGCATTACAAACGATGGTCCATTGGCCTGTTCTCGCGGAAGGTGGCCCGATGCTCCAGTTGCCATCTCGTGGAGTGAGCTGGTACAACAGGGGGCCGTGAAATCAGGCCCAGTTCGCCGCCTAGACGAATCCATTAATTGCCTGCTGACCCGACTACGTTGCACATTAAGCACAATCTGTTCGCGTGTTTGGATACGGACTGGTTAGATCTACCGGCAACAACAGAGGGCACGCAGATGGGGAATATGTACACCTTGAAATGGTTGCATGTGCGGTGACCCCTCGAACTCCAACGGCTGCCGTATATTCGCCAGCGCTGGCGAGATTCTTGCACTCGCCAGTTCACAATTTTTGGGTTGTGGTTGGAGGTAGACAGAAAAAACCAAAACCACAGCGGGTTTCCAGCCCTCAGGCAGCACCAAGGCGCTAGGTCTCACTAGGCCTAACGCACCCCTAAACCCTAACCCTAACCCTAATCTCACCCTAACCCAACACCCCAAGCTAAGAGGGCTTCACTCCTCCCTACTCCCCTTGCGTGTCTAATACAAGAGATAAAAAGTCTTCCCCTTCCAAGTAAAGGACATATACGAACACACTAGTGTCAGTCCCTCGAGGGAGAGTCCATTAGGAATGTCAGGTCGCAAAGATGGGGCTGATTCCTCCAGCGACTCTGCGGCGGAAGACAGAAAGAGGTCAAGAGAAGAGCTCGTGGCCCTGAGGACGCAAGTTAGCTCGCTGGCGGATCAGATGAGCCAGATAATTTCGCTAGTGGAAGATACCATGAAGGCAAGCAAGAAGGAGGAGCCAGCTGGCACCATGGAGGATGCCGCTGATCGCGGCGATGCTAGGGAGNACCGGAGCGAGCAAGTACAGCTCGCATTCCACGCGTGGAACTTCCTGTCTCACGCGTTGAAAGAAAAAGATCGGAAAATCATGAAGAGGGCAGAGACGCCCCAGGGAGCTCCTCGTGAGCTCAAGACCATACACGACCCTGAATCATCTGTACAGCCGTCAGAGGACCTCAAGCCCCTGACGTCGACCAAGATCTCTTGAGGTGAAACCCCCCAAAACGCCCTAAATGAGATGCTCCAAACCGCAAAGTCCTTAACCGAGAAACCAACGAAACGTTCGTCCTTCACCTCTTCCTGGATGCCCTTTCTGACGAGTATGCCATGACAAAGCACAACCTGCGACACGCGAAGGAGTTGACGCGGGCCAGTATGCTAAAGAAAGTAATGATCGAACACAAGGCGATCAAGGACAAGCTGGAGCAGGGGGAAGGAAAAGGGGCGAAGGGCGCAGAGCAAGCGAACTGAACAAGGCCAGGGGGTGTGGTACCGTTGGTGAACTAGGTCTAGTGGGCGTTGTGGAACAAGGCCAGGCGGTGTACGTGGCCGACACAGCGGCCGCGTGCGCCATGTTCCGATGCGCAGACAACTTCGTGAACTACCGTGAGCGTAGCGGTTGGGTGAAGGGGATCGGAGGCGACAAGGCCCCCATTCCTCTTCTAGGATACGGAGATGTGACCTTAGTCCTACAGACGGAAGATGGCGGAGTACCTGTACCGGTACTGAATGCTGCCCATGTACCAGAGGCCCCCTACAAACTCCTCTCGCAGTCTTCGTTGGCGGAGGAGGGCCACACGTATTCGGGGATGAAGGGGGGCCCCACGCTGACCACGAAAGCCGGGGGGGACGTGTGGTTCCCCCGGACTGAAAAGCTGCTGACCCAACGAGGCTATCAAATAAAGCCAACGCTACACACTGTCTGTGCCGCACTCATTGTTCCTGGCGATGCGAAAGCAGCCAACCCCACTNCTAGGTCTAGTGGGCGTTGTGGAACAAGGCCAGGCGGTGTACGTGGCCGACACAGCGGCCGCGTGCGCCATGTTCCGATGCGCAGACAACTTCGTGAACTACCGTGAGCGTAGCGGTTGGGTGAAGGGGATCGGAGGCGACAAGGCCCCCATTCCTCTTCTAGGATACGGAGATGTGACCTTAGTCCTACAGACGGAAGATGGCGGAGTACCTGTACCGGTACTGAATGCTGCCCATGTACCAGAGGCCCCCTACAAACTCCTCTCGCAGTCTTCGTTGGCGGAGGAGGGCCACACGTATTCGGGGATGAAGGGGGGCATCACGCTGACCACGAAAGCCGGGGGGGAGGTGTGGTTCCCTCGGACTGGAAAGCTGCTGACCCAACGAGGCTATCAAATAAAGCCAACGCTACACACCGCCTGTGCCGCACTCATTGTTCCTGGCGATGCGAAAGCAGCCAACCCCACTGACCTCAACGAGTACCACCTCGCGCACGGCCATGCCCACGAGACATTGCTCAGGATCACGGCGGAGCAGCAGGGAGTGCAGCTGACGGATGGACCGCTGCTACCCTGTCTTGGCTGTTCGATGTCCAAGGGACAGGTGAAACCCGTCCAGAAGAGCACGAGCAGTCGCGCAGTTACGAAGATATTTCGCGTGTATCTCGACTTGGGGGGAAAGATGAAAACCAGGAGCATTGGTGGCAACTGGTACACACTGATCATCAGAGACGATTTCTCCCGTTGGACGCGTGTTTTCTTCTTGAAACACAAGTCTGACGCAGCGGTTGGGTTTGAGAAGTTCCTGGCGGACTACCGAACGGAAGGTGTCCCGTGTAAGGTATATATCGCACGTACCGACGGTGGCGGCGAGTTCCAGGGGCAGTTTGCGGAAGTTTGCCGCAGACACGGCATCAAACAAGAGTTGACCCCCCCTCACACCCCAATATACAAGGATGTAGCGGAGAGAGCGCTAGGGTTGATCACTGATGCCGCGCTTGCGTCACGCATCCAAGCGACGCAACTGTTCCCCGACGCACCGAACCACCCCGGGTTGTGGGCCGAGGCCATTTCGTGTGCATGCCATCAGCTGAAGTGCATTGCCACTAAATCAAACGAGGGAGACAAATCCGCGTACGAGACGTTCCACAACTCCCCACCGCCTGTCGGGTCTACATACCCGTTTCTCAAACCAGCCGTGTTTGCGTGCTCTGCCGCAATATATATTCTTCGTAGCTTTATCCCTTCAAGCGCTGTCATCGAGATGTCGATGTTCCGTCTCGTGACCGTTCGCATTCTTCATCTCAATGATGATGTGGGGGATTGATTCGGGATATTTCTACAACTCACCCTCCTTTTGGATGTTTTGTGAAGAGTCATATCTTCGATTCATGATCAAAAATCATCAGCTAAAATCTTAATTATGCTTTAGACTAGGATTTGAGCATTTGACTTGAGTATATAATCTGCATATATGATATTCAGGGTGGGCTAGTGTTAAGGAGTGTGGCTGCTAGCATGAATAGGGTACATCTTATTCTTGATAGGATGCGGGTCAGTCAGGAGGTATACCCTTCTGACCCCTACCCCCTTAGAATTGTCTACTCTGTGTACCCCCTGAGATGAAGTTGGATCCCAACTTCATCCCAGACCTTTGCTGATCGTCTCTCAGCAATAACAAGCAACTTTCCCATCTCAACGTGGTCGTGGACAAGCGTGTCAACGACAGAACCTTCATCTATCTCTAGGAGCAAGCCACCGCCCACGGCATCACTCCTTGAAGCTTATGAGAAGGTGTACCGATTCAGGTAATAGTCAATCGACGGGTACCCTGCGAATCGGGTCCTCCTTAACACTCTCCATCCACAGAATTTACCCTCAACTGGAAACCTCCTGTGGCCAGGATGGGTAATTCGATGGAAGTGTCACAAGGTTCTTTCTAGGATCGATTCCAGAGATGTTCACAGGACTGACACACATTGTGTACATGGGAAAATGTCCAAGTCAGGAGAAAAAGTGTGCACCCAAGGAGATTAGAACCAGTATTCGGTGACGCCACATGCGAAGGTGTACCGATTCAGGTAAAAGTCAATCGGCGGATACCCTGCGAATCGGGTCCTCCTTAACAATATGGTAAGATACGGAGCTAGCGTCAGCGTAGCCCATGTTGTCGGGGTGTACACCGTATCGTGGGATAAGTCCGTTCCACATGCTTTATGTCTGGTGGTCAATAAGCAAAAATTCTTGTGTTTGTTCGAAGCTTTTGTTCGAGTGGCGGAACATTTCTGCAGGAATGTTGGTTTCATGAAGATATTTGGTGAGGATAATTATTTACTTGTTTAACATCTTGAGACGTTCTGGGAAGCGATCTGGATGGTGTTCGCAGTTACCTTTTGTATGGCTTGGTTTTTGGAGGAAAACCAACAGGTGGAGACGTGAGGATGATATGGTTTTTCGTCGTTAGGATTGTGTGTTGGTTGATCGAGACTTTTTTGGGTGGAAAACGTTGGAGGTTCGGAGAAAGTACCGTCTTGAGGGGATAGATAATCTACTGATACCAAAAAACAATCAACAACAAAAAACAGTTTTGCAGAACGGAAGCCAATGGGATAGGTGTGTTCGTGTGTTTGGATACGGAGTGGTTAGATCTACCGGCAACAACAGAGGGCACGCAGATGGGGCATATGTACACCT